TAAGCTTCCTATTATTCTTGCATTCACGCTATCGTAGTCTTTATAACATTTTGTATGGATTCTTCTTCTGTGCGATTGTTTATTCTTTTGTGACCGCTTCTGTGAAATTTTTTTTCTGTAGTTCGGACGCCCACTATATGGGAACGTTTTTAGTATCCAACAACAAGAACAACCAATTATGAGGTATGAAGATATGCATATGGGAAAGCCTTCTATGTAACCCCACCCACATATATAACATATGTGACCCCTGATCTTAGCCATCAGATCTAAGTAGATCTATTTTATTTAGGTTCGCCCTAGTTTATGATGGAACACTCAAAATGCCATCCAAAAATATTTTGTAAAAAAAAATAAAAAATAAAACGGCATTTCGCATGACATTGTGGCATGAACAATTGTAGCCATCAATTTTGAATCAAACAGTTTAGAAGTGGGGTCACGTATAACTGCTATGTTGTTCGGGTCACACAAAAAGCTTTTTGTATCCATTTTACCCTTGGTTTGTTGAATTAATAGAATAAATCTTTTGTTTTATTATAATAAACTTCATGCGCCGGCAATTAAATCTTCCTTTGTTGGAAAATGACTTTCCATGTTATGGTTTTCTTGGTTTTCTTAGTTTTCTTAATGATGGCGATATCATTATTGTCTCATTATGCATTTTCCTTTGATTGCAAGAGGAACTTGTTGATAACAGTAAGCATTGGGATGACTTGGAGGAAGAGGAGGAACAAATGGAAGAAGAGGAATTGGAGGCCGGTATTCAATCAGTTGCCAGCATCTCTCTCTCTCACTCTCTCTCTCTCTATAAGAGGAAGCGCAAGATGTAGGAAAAAGGAAGGGAAGGCAAAGAAGAAGGATTTCAAGTTTTAGGCACAAAGCTATACATCAAATTTGCATAGCATGAATGCTCCCCCTCCCCCATTGGATATATTCTGTTTGGTTAATATATTGTGAACTGTGAAATTTGAAGGATCTGACACATTGAAAGTTCTTATTGACATGTAAAATGTGAAGTGCTTTTGTCGCCTTAATGAATGGACAGGGCAACTAGTTGTACTATTGAGGTAGGAGTGATGTTTAAAGGGAATTTGATTAGTGAATCCATTTTGAGTTCATCGATGAACTTAACTGGGCCTGCACTTGGTGGAGAGTTAGAAGTGGTTTTATTTTCTCTAGGGAACCCATGACCTATAAAGCATGAATTTCTCAAGGTTCGCCTGTGTGATGTTCTTGTTTTTATGTTTTGTTTCTTCTTTTGTGTCGACGAGCCACAAACACGATCTAAAGGAGCATTATTGTCAGCATAAGAAATGTCTGTTGTTGGCTTGAAATAACTGGGTGCGTGCCATAGTTAGCGATCCAAGGAATAATAAAATATCGGCATATCAAAATTTTGGTAATAAATCTGTTTTATTTAAAAAGGACAGAGGAAAAAATCGGTTAAAAAATATGGATCACCAACTAAAAAAGGTCACTTATAGAATCGTGAATATTTGGGATTTTGGTTAAAAAAATGTAGTGAAAAAAATAAGATATGCAAAGATCATAGTTTGTAAGTCTCCCATTTAAAACACGATTTTTTCAATAAATCTCCGATTTTTTAAAATCTGTTAAAAACTCTGAGTTTTTTAAAAGATCTTCAAAAAATCGGTTTTTTTTAATAGTGCGGATATAAATTTGCATTTTATCTTTTCTAAAAAAAACTTATTCCCTGTAACTTTATTTATTTATTAATTTAATATTATTGAAATTTGGTGTAAAGATAAGTAATGTAACAATGAGTAAATTAAAAATCTTGATTTAACAAAAAATACTTTTTCATTTTGTACATATTTAAATAACTTTTTTAGTTTTAAGTTTAACAACTTTTATATTAATAATTTTTTCACAATTTTATCGATTTTTAGAACTCGGCTCGGCTTTTATCCGCGCTAAAATGAGCTCGGCGCGGCTCTATTTTATCTCGGCTCGGCTCGGCTCGGCTATTATCATCTCGGCTTGGCTAACGTCGGCTCAGCTCAGCTAATATTGGCTCGGCTCGGCTAACATTGTCTCGGCTAGGCCAGAGAAACTCTATTATATTTAAATGAACTTTAGATATTTTAGCTGAGCCGAGCTTAGCTGAGCCGACTTAAGCTGAGCTGAGCCGTTTTAAGCCGAGCCAAGCTACGAGCTGAACTTTTATCGACGCAACCCTAATATCCACGAAAACAGGAAAATTTTAGCTAGAAGAGTGCTTCCATGGGCTTCTTCTGGTTTTCTGGGTTTTCAAATTGAGGGGAAGAATTGGAGAAGAGAGGGATGCCATGCGTCCGTCGACTGCGAATCCTCATCTTCTTTCGGAAAGTGTGCCCGAGTCTCTTGCTACCCTAGTTTTACCCTATTCCATTATCACCCAAGACCCCTTTGCCATCCTTCACTCGTTGCCCCAATTCACGGCTCTGGTTTTGCTCGGGTACTCATATTTTGGTAAACTTCTAGCAAAATGCAGCGCAGACAGCTTCCCCAAGCTTCAAATTCTACTCCGAAGATGGAGGATTGGGGTCAGTTTTCGTCTCCTTGCTTTCCCTGTGAACGAAGATGAACTGCAGTTGCAGTTAATATTTAATGTTTGGACTGAATTGATAGTTTGCATGCTTCAATATTATAATGCACTAACCATGGTATTGTTGGACCAAACCATGTGAATTATGAACGTTTGTTGCCATTGGATGTGTAAGATTATGTGTGTGCTCATGAGTGTTCCATGCTGATAGACATCAATATTGTGTTAGAAGGCTTATCATCTTGAAATAGGGGGTTTAGAGTAAAAATAGTCTGCCCTTGGGAAGAAGATGAAACATAAAACTAGGTGATGAATGAAACTTTTCTCAATAATGCATATTTACCTTCGAAAATATTCCTTTCTATAAGTCTTTTGTGGCATGCAATGAGAAACAGAGCATCCACATATGAACTTATGCAAAAATAGGCCTCACTGGTTCCATGTGGATATGTTATTTGTTGATATGG